ATCCATATTTGCTTGGGATGTAATCGTGTTTCGGAAATTCTAACTTTACAAATTGAGTGACATTGTATATAGACACAATAAATGAGAAATCTAAAGTTTATTGACAAGTAACTATGTACTTATTTCATCGTTCTTGAACAAAATGCATGTCTTGGAATGAAAGAACTGAAACTGTCTTAATAGATTTTAGCAAAACCTAAGTTTATGATTTCAAGCAGATTGATTTCAAAGATTGCCCATCATACAAAGTGCACAATGATGTCTACTAACTACGTTTTGTATGTATATAACAAAGTGATATATAAGAATCTAATCACCACCTAAGTAATAACAAAAGGATGTATATTCATTTTATGTAATAAGTCAACTAGATGAAAGATACACGTTCATGAATTCAATTAATTGTTAGTTCATTTGTAATCAATAAGTCCCATGTAGTTATATAGTAAACGGATGTTTATTTAAAAAAAGCTCTGCTTGTAAATAGTAATTTTTAACATATATCTTCATTATAAACAACAATGGATAGTGGATAACAGTGGAGTCCAGGATGCACGCCGCTTCATCCCATTTGGAACTCGTCAGCTGGGTGTACCTGTATTCCAGAGTTGATGTCTATGCAGGGACTCGAACCTAGTACCTTTAGAATGATGATATATCTAGATGATGAGAGCTGACGGTACACAAGTAAGTGACTACCAGGACTCAGTAGCTAAGTGGATAACACAATAGCGTTTGAAACGAACGGAACCGTGTTTGAGTCCCAAAGTGAATATAAACTCTCAGATGAAGGTACATCTAGCTGAAGAGTCCCAAACAGGACGAAATGCACTTCTTGGATTCCACTGCCAACTACTATCCTCCTTTACTTATAATACTTGTGACTTAAGGCAATATTGAGATAATCCACACAGGATGCACATATAACAACAAGGGACAAGAGATAACGTTTCATAAAAATGTAACCTTGGAAATGTTTATTTGTTCTTTAATCAAAGTAAATATAGTAACTTCACTGGTTGAAATCATGAGTCAATTGAAGCTAGACCACCATGTAAAACCTGGAAGCACTGAACGGCCGTTTCGTCCTAGCAGTGCGCACCCACGACCCCACGAGATTCGAACCCAGGACCTATCAGTCTCGCGCCAGGAGCTCAACCAACTAGACCACTGCGCTGGCATCCAACGGTGTTAATGTCTAACTTCAACCAATCCACGAAGTTGCACCACCGTACACCATTGTCTTCAGTGAGTTCCTACCTCACAACAGACCTGATTGAACTCCACTGGTAACGGCTTCTCACTAGAACTCCAGGAGTGTCTCCTGAAGTCAGTCACTAGTGAGCAGGGCGGGACCGTACATGCGCACTGCTGCGGAGTCTCATACTAGGACGAAACAACCGTCCAGTACTTTCAGGTTTTCCATAGTGGTCTAGCTTTAATTGACTCATGGTTTCAATCAGCGAAATTTCTAAAAATCTTCACAAAACCCATTCTGATAAAATGTAGTAACATTGAATAAATATATGCTTATACACCCCTTTATTCCAACCATTAGAGAATTAAGATTTACACAAACAAGCAAAGAAATAAAATGCCGAAAACTAAAGTTTCATTCAAGCAACTATTTGTATTCTATACAGAATTATTTCGATCATGTATTGAATTTTGTTCAAACTTATTGGTTTACACATTAAAAACAAAAGTACTACCAATAGAGATCAATGGACTTTTATGTATAAATGTACAGTACTAAGGTTAACTAAGGTCAAATGTATTCAAATGATAATCACCGAATTATCTCAAAGAACTTTTTATTATAAATTGAAGTTCAATAAATATAGAGTTTAAGTAAAGTTTCATTAGACTATACTAAGCATATAACATAAAATGAATGTAAAAACTTAAAGGACTATTCATTATGTGGAAAGGATTTTGTGGAGATTGTAGTAATTTTGATGGAGTTTTGTATTCCGAGATGGATGGTGTGGTCGTGGAGCTTTCATCGTTCTTCTGAACGACATCATCAGCACAAACTTCAGATAGAAATGAACTGTTCGAATTTCTTCATATGCGTTTCACAGCTTATTCTGTGCACCTCGATGTTGATTGGTTCTTATTGCCCCTAAATTTGTCATTGTTTACTTCTTTGTTTTGGTTGTGTCTCCCATTGGTTTGATTTTTGTTCCTATGTTTGTGCATAATTTTCCTGATTGTTTGATAAATTAGATTGATTTCAATATGTTTGTTGATTGCTGATTGACCTGAGTGCCAGGCTTCTAAAAATTCTCTGGTGTTTTTGGAGTTTCTTCTGTCTAAGATTTTCACATTTTTTCAATCGAATGAGTGTCCGTAGTTATCCGCGTGTGTTGATATAAGTGAAGAGATATCATGGCGTTTGACTGCTAATTGATGTTCGTATAGGCGAAGGTGAAGGGGGTGTCCGCTTTGTCCGATGTAGTGTTTGTCGCAGTTGGTACAATTTATTTTGTAGGTGATGTTTGATTTGTTTTCCTTTGTTATTTTATCCTTTGGTTTGCATAGGATCGATTATAGTGATTTGGTCGATTTGTGTGCCACATCTATTTCGAAGGTTTTCAGCAGTCTCGTTGCCAATGACAAATTTAAGGTCAATAAGAACCAATCAACATCAAGGTGTACAGAACAAGCTGTGAAACGCATATGAAGAAATTCGAACACTTCACTTCTATCTGAAGTTTGTGCTGATGTGATGCCGTTCAGAAGAACGATGAAAGCTCCACGACCAAACCATCCAGCTCAGAGAACAAAAATCTATCAAAATCATCCACCTGAGCTACAAATCTTCTCCATTGTAGTAACTTAATGGCTGAATTCTTGAGTCGATTAAAGCTAGAGCACCATGGAAAACCTGGAAGTACTAGATGGCCGTTTTGTTCTAGTATGGGATTTCTTAGCAGTACGCATCCGTAATCCCACACGAATGCAGGACCTTCGGCTTCACACATGAGCGTTGAACCTGGAGACTGAATATTCTGGGTTTGTATGAGATCGTAGATGAGCAGTGCTGAAGAGTTCCATGCTAGAACGAAACGACCGTTCAATACTTCAAGGTTTTCCATGATGGTCTAGCTTTAACTGACTCGTGAAATCAACTATTACATTATTCATTTCTTGTTATTATGATGACATATCAACAGTGTTAACTGAATAGCTTCATTTAATTAATTATGATTTGTGGCGATTTTCCTATTTACAAACTATAAAACAGATCAACTTGACCTAAAAAATCATTAAAAACTAAGGTGTAATATGTAGTTGTTACTTCTCAACACCAAACCCCTTAAGAGTGTACAATATTGACCTTACTAGTGGTTAAACACAGTAGCCCCAGATCCTACAGAGTTCCACTTTAAACTATTAAATTAACCTTTAAGGGACGTGAATGTCTAATTTCGATCTACTTGTGATACTGTTCAACCATTTTCTGCATCATGTTTCATTTCTTACACGGTCAAACATTTTCCGATAACCGTTTTCAACTGAATTCTTCTCTAAACCATGTCAGAAGTGGGACAGATATCACTGAAAGCACTAAATAGTAATTAGACAACATCATGAATTAAATGAAGTTTCAATTTTAGACTATGGAGTCCCTTTCAGATTATTTAAAGATCGTTTTACCATTTAAAATGTATTCTTCGACTGTCATTTTCAAGGTTCACTTCATATGAGTTCCAAACTAAATGATGTTACTAAGCAGTTCCTCGATATATGAAGAGAGATGATTCATAAAAGAAGACATTTCACGATTAGAATTTTTGAGATGACTGTTTGATGAAGTATTTGATGAACCAACATGAAGTAGTTTGACGAATGACTTAGTACTATTCTAATGAGCAAGAATACAAGTATGGACAATCAAATGTATTTGAACACACAATTACAGAATCACTTAGTAAAATCTGAGAACCATAGAGTAAAATGTCAATCAATTGTCTCAAACTTCATTATCCCTCTGATTCCACACCAATTATTCTTTGTTCCCGTTCTCTTTTGTTTGATCTTTTTAACCTACTAACAACCAGACATTTCATTTTTGATTAATGATACATACGACTTATATCTATCAACATCAGTAGCACAAACCACATTATTTCAGAATTCCTTTATTCACTGTAGACATTAGCAAAATGATACAATGATGAAATGGGTATAACAGAATTTAAAAATAAATACACAAGGTTAGATAAGTTCAACTTTACGTCAACCAATAGTTTTATAAAAGAATAAAGGTGCTCTTAACTAATCGACGTTTCATTAGTTGAGATCATGAGTCATTTGAAACTAGACCATCATGGAAAACCTGGAAGCACTGGACGATCATTTCGTTCTTCTGTGGGACTCCTCAGCGGTGAGCATCTACGATCCCGCCTCGCGGGATTTCAACTCAAGACTTATTAGTCTCACGCGTGAGCGCTTAACCACTAGACCACTGAGCCGGCATCCAACGGTGTTAATGTCTAACTTCAACTAATCCATAAAGTTGAGCGATACATCCACCATTGTCATCAGTGAGATACTATCTAACAACAAACCCGGTTAAACTTCACTAGTCACTGCTTCTCACTAGAACTCCAGGAAACACCTTTTGGAGAACGTCACTAATGAGTACATGTTGATTAGTATCAGAAGAGGTTTTATGGAGGTTGTAATTTCTACAGGGTTTGAATCCCGCGAGGCGGGGTCGTGGATGCGCACTGCTGAGGTGTCCTACAACAGGACAAAACGGCCATCCAGTGCTTTCAGGTTTTCCATGGTGGTCTCGCTTCAATTGATTCATGATCTCAACTACTGAAATTACTACAATCTCCACAAAACCACCTCTGATACTATGAGATGTTTCCAATAAAATTTCAGTGTTTCTTCAACTTTGTTTATCAGTAGATTTATAATCATCGTCTATTTTATATATTCCTTACTACATCTTTACTTCATCGATCTTATCAACTTAAAATTAGTACTAACAAATGATAAATGTCAATTGGATAGTGACTGTATATATGTGAAAAATAGTATTTGTCATCCTGGTGCTGGAGCATGTATTTGTCCATCTGGAACTATTTATATACCAGAAGAACAATCATGTAGTAAGTTATTTTGAATATTATATAATTGTTTTTCTAAGTAATACTTATATATTGAAACAAATGATACGAGAAGAATATCAACGACGAGGCCTATAATTTATGGACGACCTTTGAACGAATCTTACGTGACCTTGATAAGTATTGAACAATCAGCAAACAGTCAATATAGGATAAAAATATATTATACAAAACCAAAGTGGATACACTTCTTATACATGGCTCGAAAACTTGTCAAGATTAGGAAGAGGTCCAGAGGTTTTGAAATCGTAATGTATACAGTAGAGGAAATCACCCATATGGCTGCATTATAGTAGGCCTCTGGAGCCATGATAATGTTGCAAAAACTCTATCAGGCTCAACTACATAGCTTCAAAATTGTTTGTGTACATTCGGTTGTTGGGTCCACAAAATGCCGCTTGTGGGCAACGATATAATGCACATAACCAATACTGTGTAGTTATCTGTACGCTCTCCAATCATCCGTATATATTTTAGTACCTGGCTGCAGCCAGTGTTATTGGTGCCTTTACTATCCAATTCGCAATAATTGTCATAATTTGCCTCAGTCTCAATCTGAATCGAGCAAAAAATTCCTATTCTAGCAGACGTTTTCCTCCAACACATCAAGAGACAACATCGCGGCAGTCTTCACAAGGTTCACAGGTCATTTTATTACCACAACCATAAATAAAGGAACTTTATAATAGTCCCATTTGTTGTAGCTGCTTAATTATCACTTTTTCTCTAAAAATCCGCCGTGAATCGATCGTATATGAGCATTAGGTACTGAAATTGGCGCTATGACCCTAAGATCCTTCAAACATTTCTGATCGGCTCGTCTATAAAGTATAGTCTCACCGAAATCACTACAAAAGATGCCTGTGCAGTAAACTCCGACTGATAAAATAAAGAATCAAACTTTACCAACACGTTTCAACTGATGACATCATTTTGAATGAGGTAATTTCAGTCAACAAAGATAATACAATCTAATCTATTCGATTTAATTTGTGTAACTCTAAAAGTTCCACATATTCCATAGAAATCCAATATGTTGATACAAATTTGACATTTATTCAACTAATAGAATATTTCTTCATCAGTATTATTACTAATTCACTACTGATATTGCTCAGTTCAATAGTTTATTTGATTACATCATCATTACACAATTTGAAACAACCAGAACCGAACTAAATAGTTACATTGTCATATATGTGGTCCTAATCCTTATACTCAGGAACAGTAATTGTGACATGTGCTACTGAGATCGACAAATACAAGTAGTATGTATTCTTAGTTAAAGTATTAGTGTTCTATATGATGGTGATTTTTAAAGAGTTTGAATAAATGTCATTTAAGTTTAGATTGATATCATGGATGAATGAATGTTAGGCAACCATTGAAAACTTGGAAGGACTAGACAGCCGTCTCGTCCTAGTATGGGACTCTTCAACAATGCACATCCATGACCCCGTATGAAGGACTCGAAAAAAGGGCATTCCGTTTCGCACAGGAACGCTTAACCTGTAGATCAGTGATCCAGCATCCAATGGTGTTAATGTCTAACTTCAACCAATTGACGGCGTTGTGCGACTGTCCACCATTGCATTCAGTGAGTAACTGCCACATAACAGACATGGTTGAACTCCACTGATCACGGTGTCCCAATGGTGGTCTAACATTGATCCATTCGTGATATCAATCTAGACTCAACAATCTCCACAACCATATACTGATGATTATTATTTGATTAAAAAATTGCTTTGCTATCATTTTATCATCTTATAGAGTTATCATCTGTTTTGTTTAAATGTCACAGGATTTCAAATTAAAACATTTACAAATGATTTCTGTGATAAATGTGAACGTTTCCATGGTTTATGCTACAGATATGAAAACGACCGAGCATTAAGTCACAACAACAAAAGGTAAGTACTAGAATGAATTATAGCAACTCTCCTATAGTCAATTTGTTTAACAGACAGTATTATTCGAACAGTAACCATTTGTCTATTTCTTCATAATATTATGATCACCATCATGTCTGTATAAATGTGTGTACTTGAATGTTATTAATTGTCTTACCTTTGCATTACCTTACTTCGCTTGGCCTCGTTTAGCCATTGCCTTGCGACACTTGGCCTTGAGTCGATTTGACTATAAATCCACCTTTGTATTTGCTCGCGCACACATATTCGCCTCTCTGCTCCAACTCGCTCGATTTGTCTGTAACTTTGTTATCTGTGCTATCCAATAATAAACTGTAGTCGTCGCTTCGTGTTACCTTCTGAATTCATACACAGTTGGTATTTATTTAATAATGGTTATCAGGGTGATTAATAAACGAAGCCTAAGAGATTATCTTGAAGTTAATCTGTAGTGAAGGAGAACACAGGTGAGGACAAACAAATTACATTCAGCACAAAATTACAGAGTTACTTGGCAAAATAGAAAAATCATACTATAATACTTAATTTGCAAAATGTTCACAAATTGTCTCAAACTTCGTTGTTCTTGAATTTCCATATTAATTGCTTCTTATTCCCGCTCTTCCTTTCTTGATCTTCCCAATCTTCTGCTGCCAGACATTACATTCTTGACTCGCGTCATATACTACTTATATCAATATAAGTAGCACGCACCATAAAGCCATTACAAAGTAACATACAAATCCAGTGTATATGTAGGTAAGTAAAACGATTGTACCGAATCAAGTTGTAAAATATTGGTAGGTGAAAGACCAGTTTTCTAAGAATATTTTTTAAGTAGCATAACCCAACAAGTTGAAATACTGGCTCAAAGTACATTCAATAAGTTTATACGCTTAAAGAAATATTAGGGAGATAGTTCCTCTAGTTTTAAAACATTTTAGTTCAATACAGGGCTGCTACTTACGATGTCGAACGATAAGATATATCCCTGGAGTAAAAAATAAACCAGTTTGGTGAATGTAGAAAATCTCATTGTTGAAAGTATGCAAATTTAGTTAACTCATCCCATATAGCATGGATATAATTTAATCCTGTCGATATCGAGTCATTTTCAGTCTACGTTTAACTAAAATCGTAAGTAATACATTTTCTTTGCAATTTTTAGACACCTACATTACAACATACCACATTGTACGAACATTTCATGTACCTAAATTAATGGGTACTGTGGTTGTTAAGAGGGACATTAGCGCCGTGAATTCCGAAGGAACTCGGCTTTTACCATAAGGCATCATAACTCTTCTAAATGAAGACCTTATAACTCCTAGGGCAGAGTTTAAATGGTTTGAATTATATTTTCTCGTTGGCGTTTTTTTGGAGAGTTAGTTTCCTACAGGATGGAGTGGGTGACCACATGACCAGACGTCTTCCTTTATCCGGGCTTGAGACCGGCAGTTGCCCCAGAAGGGCTCCAGGCGGAGTTCTACATTACAACTAGTTAGTTAGATTGGTCGTTTGAAACAATCTACATGAAATATAATCAAAGATTACTAGTGTTGGACATCTTAATCTAATTGACATTGTAGACACTTTAAACATTCATTATCTAAAACTTGAATTGTGTATATAATAACAAAATTGCTAGGTCCCCTGTTTTACCAGAGTCTTACGCTTATATAATGTCTATATAAGTATTATCAAAAAGATTTTCTCTATACAGAATTACTTATCATTATTATTCATTTAACACTTTTATCAATTCAGTTTATATGTTAATAACATCCATACTAACTGTGTTCACTCCATCGGTAATACACTTTCTTTTTCTACATTCCATTAATCTCTCATCGAGGAGCATAGGCCGCCCATCACTTCCAATGTATCACGTCCAATGTATAAAGCTATAATTTAACACATTCCATACGATCATACATCTTTTGAAATAAATTTGGCTGGAAAAAGAATTATCTACTGAATTAATCGTTTGGTAAATTATTAGGTAATTTAATGAGTGAATTCATGAGTTGATTTGAGCTAGACTATCATGGAAAATTTAGAAGTACTTGACGGCGGTTTCGTCTTAGTATGAGACTCCTCAGCAGTGCCACTACTACAATTCCCACAAACTTACATTCTGACAATAATTATCATGTGCTCATTAGTGACTGGCTTCAAGATGTGGTTCCTGGAGTTCTAGTAAGTAGATGTAACCAGTAGAGTTCAATCATATCTGTTGTGAAGCAGTTACTTACTGAAGACAATGATACACAGTCGCGCAATATCGTAGATTGGTTGAAGTTAGACATCAACACCGTTAAATGCCAGCTCACTGGTCTACAGATTAAGCGTTCATGCGCGAGTTTGGAGGTCCTCTGTTCAAATCCAACGTACGGGATCCTGAATGAGCATTGTTGAATTTCACACTAGGACGAGACAGTCGTCCTGTACTTTCAGGTTTTTCAAGGTTGTATAGCTTAAATCGACTTGTGAATTCAACCTGTTAAATTACTACAATTCCCATAAGTACTCATTCTGACCACTTATTAGGTGTTTTTTTTTAGATTATTCCATACGTAACACATTTTTTTAAAGAGTTAATCAGTGCGAGGAATCTGTTATCAAATATTATTATTGTTATTTCAGAATTGTATATGGATGTAAATGCCCATACAATACAGTTTCGATTGATACTAACCTCCTATGGAATAAATCATATATCAATCAACCTAAAACATCAGTCTCCATTAATAGTACACAAATAATGAACTATATGAGTGATAAAGAGAATAGTGGCTTCTGTCGAGGTTTGTTAGGTAAGTCTAACATTAATAGACATAATGACAATTGTTCCATGTCTCTTACACACTAATGCAGATATTTACTTTAAAAAACATTGTTAACGTTGATTGGATGACTTATTCAGTAAACAGTGAACAAGAGAATCATAAAACCTATTTATATTCGAAAATTTTGATGTTTGATTATATTTCCTTGAAAAGGCTTCGACCGAATTGCCAGTTGACTTACTTAATTATGCTTGTTATCCCTCATCGAGGAGTATCGGTCGCCTATCAGCACTCGACATCCAACCCCGTCCTGGACAATCCTTTTCATACCTGTTTCTATTTCGCGACGTAATGTGTTCTTTGACCTTCAACTTTCCCGCATCCCTTCACCATTCAAAATTAGTGCTTGCCTCATGATGCAGTTTAGTGATTTCCACAATATATGTTCTATGCATTTCCAACTTCTTTTCCTAATTTCCTCTTCAATTGAAAACTGGTTTGTCCTCTCACACAGTAGACTGTTGCTGATGGTATCCGGTCAATGGATGTTGAGTATCTTGCGTAGACAATTATTGATAAATACTCGTACCTTCTTGATGATGATTGTAGTAGTTCTCGACGTTTCAGTTCCGTATAGTAGAACTGTGTTGACGTTTGTATTGAAGATTGTGATTTTGATATTTGTTGACAGTTGTTTTGAGTTCCATATGTTCTTCAATTGTAGGACTGCAGCCCTTGTGTAACGTTGAAATTACTTTAAATTCATTCACTGAAATTTTATAAATACATTCTTCCTCTTTAAATCAACTTTATGTAACCATATTTCAATTTCTATCCATAATTGGAAAATAAGTGGTCCATATGTTCGAAAAGGTTGCGAGATGTCTATTATCATAAAACTACATTACATTTCTGATTTTAGTTAATTTGTTATATTGGTCAGATAGTGTCTCTTATCTGACATAACTGAACTGCACTGGTCATAGCTTCTTATTAGAACTCCAGTAACTAGTTCTAGAAACTTGTCGCTAAGTGAATATATGATCATTATTAGTGCAGATGGTCTATCGAGATTGTTTAATTTCATAGTCTACATCACGAACTGACCTTAATTAGAGAATCATTGATGATCAGGATCCAGTAATGAAATGGGCACTGCACAGGAGTTCCATACTTGGATTGGTTTCTGAAGGATTTTCTAACTAAGGTCAGTTTGTGATGCAAACTACGAAACTGAACATTCTCGACAAACCACTCACAGTTTAGTTTAATATCTTTCAAGAAACATACATTCTAATAATATACAAGGACTGAAGTGAGCAGAATTAATATCTGAGGATGATCAAGTTGCAAATAAGGAATGTCAAAGACGGAACGTCAAACTCGGTGGTACATTCTGCTTAATTTAATTGGTTTTTTTAAGGAACATTGTTCAGTAACACTCACAAACGTAGACAAGTAGCTATCAAATATCACCTATTAATAACCATGTTCATCTGTATTTATATTTAGGATTTTATCTATTAGCAGCAAACAGGTTTACAAATGTCACTGTTTCACTGAAGACATTTGAAAGAATCAAGTTCTCAGAAATCCAAAAAATATTGAATCAGGAAGGAAAAAGGAACCAATTAGATGTATTAAGAATATCTAATAGATTCGATAAGTGTAACCATAATTCCGTTGAACATGTAGTCAGAGATCAGATGACTTGAATACTTAGACATTCATTATTGAGTACAATGCAAATATAAACCCAGTTTTACATCAATAAGATAACGTTTCTTTTTTGGCTCACTATGATTCGGTTAAACGAATCGTATGATCAGTCCCCACTCTTTCCCTATCATTAATGTATTTCATACAATGTTGTTCTAAAAGTAAATCGGAAATAAAAAACCTTATATCCTTGATTCTATTCCTACAACGTAATTATTAAGAATTGTTCCGTCCTATTTTATCTCTTCTTCCTATCAATCTTCACACTTTAGACTGGTCATGTTACACTGTGAATAATCTAATGGAAACTTATTTGTCACAATGTCTAGAAGTTCAATACTTCCATATTTTAACAACTTCATTGATGTTATTTCAGTCTTAAAGTTGGCTTCATTGTCGTTTAAGTATGAACGAACGTCGAATTGTTTATCATGAATCATATTACAAACTATTAACTCAATAAAACAGAGGTATCATTACATCCATAGTATTTTCTTTGTTACCCTTTAACAAGTCTCTAAAGACAGGCGCACCGATAACTTATACACATTTAAAACAAATTGATACTACTTAATACTCTTTATAAACTACCAAGAATTCACAGTAATCAGTTAAAGGTGTTCTCATTGCTTTTCTTCAAATCTGTGTAAATTTTTTTTTGATTGATATTATGAATCCATTGATGTTAAGCTATCATTAAAAACCAGGAAGCACTGGACGGCCATTTCGTTCTAGTGAGAGGTCGTGACCAGTGGGGCTAATCAATGTCAGGTAGAAGCAGGCATCTACTTCAGATAATGGAAGATGGTCTACTTTTGATTGGTGTTACATACTACTTATAACTGTCAACATAAGTAGCATACAATATATATATATATATTTCAGAATGATAATAATTACAATAATAGTGATAATAAAGTTCTTTTGAACACATTTACAGTAAGGTAGAATAAAGAAAGGTATTAAAACATTATTTTATATCAAGCAAGTGGCTATTAGGATTCAGTAGCTGATATGACGGGAAGAAAAATCAAAATTCGATTAACTTACTCATTATGAGTCTTGTTCAACATTACTTCCGTTTTTTGATTCAATGTAATGATTACACAATGTAGTATTCGGTTTTCATTTCTCGTATGATATTTTCTTCTGTATAATATACGATATTCTTGTATTCCATAGACATAAACTATGATCAGTATGTGCTTTCATCCTAATTTCTAATCAAAATGGGTGGACAATCAACATATAAATGAGTGTATTTTCTACTGGAGTTGTCGTCATAGTGTTTTGAGGTTAATAACTCATCACTTATACCAGCCTTTGTGTTTTTACTTTCGCGTCGTGGGAATTGCAGAGGTCCCTTGTTCCGAGTATAAGTGATAAGCGTTTCCGACATAACAATCAGCGACGACCAGATACAAAGAGTAGCATTAAAAGAACCAAGACAATAAGCATTCAAACGACAAGTTATAACAGTAGCTAAGTGGATAACGCGATGGCATTTGAAGTGAATGATACTGGTTTTGAGTTCCGGAGTTAAAATCAACTCTGCCATTTAGGTACATCCAGTTGAAGAGTCCCAAATAGGATGAAGCACCCATCCTGGATTTCACTGCTAGCCACCATCCATTTTTGTTTATAATGCTTGTAACTGAAAACATCCTCAGAGGCAATCCGGACATATACCAATAATAGATTTCAGTCATCAATGGGAAGATTCAAATAAACAATACCGAATAAATTGAAACTAATAACAATTTCATTGTTAAAGGCCTAAATATTTTTCATAAAGATAAATAAGGAAATTATAATTGGGAAAGGATTGCTAAGCATGATAAAATAAAATGCTGAAATTGAAATGAAATATAATCAGGGGGATCGTAGAAACAGAAATAAACCAGTGGGGGGGATAAAAGTTCTATAAAGAAGATAGAAGGTGAAGTAGATGACTATGAAGGAAGAAAAGTATGAAGAAGAAGAAGAAAAAGAAGGAAGAGGGAAGAACATCACAAAACATCGAGACCCTTTTGAAAACAATCCTGACATCTTAATTCATATTGGAAAATTCAAAACTATGTAATTTACTTTAACAGAACATAGAAAATTAGTTTACATTATCTTTAACCTGCTATTAGTATTAAATCTATCATTATCTCTATTATCTTTATCATTATAAAAACGTTTAAGACTTAAAGACCGATTGATTAAATGAAAGAAAAACATTTCTAATATCAATTTTGATATTATGGTAAACAACTATTAACTGAGTAGAATGATAGTCATTACAAATCAAATGATTATTGTATTAAAAAACATCTATTTTTTCCCATAATAGATTGATAATAACTAGAGGAACATTGAAAACTGCTGAGCATAAAACAATAGTCTCGGTGTAGTATAGGATTTCCTAACAGTACTAATCGATGGTTTCATATAGGATGGATTTTAAGTGATGAGCATCGTAATATTCACTTAGTTTTTTAATTGAGATTATGAATCGACTGATGCTAGACCACAATTGAAAACCTGGAAGCGCTAGACGGCCATTTCGTCCTATTGTAGGATTCTCAGCAGTGCTCATTACTAACTAAATTCGTGAGGGAATTCTCGGAGTTCTAATGAGAAGCTGTGATCATTGGGACTAATCCGTGTCAGGCAGAGATAGGTATCTACCTCAGTAAAATGGAAGATAGTTGCGCGATTTCGTGGATTAGTTGAGGTTAGATATTAACGCCGTTGGATTCCGACCCAGTGGTCTAGAGGCTAAGCGTTTGCACGCGAGACTAACGGTCCTAGGTTCGGATCCCGCAAGCTGGATCGTGAGTGCGCACTGCTGAGAGTCCCATACTAGGACGAAACGGTTGTCTAACGCTTCGAGATGCTCAGTGGTGGTCTAACATCAATCGGTTCATGATCTCAATCAAAAACCTAATAATCTCCACAACCCTATACTGATAATATTCATTTACTATGTAAAGACTCAATATTCACTACTCGTAAACTTAATTAGTTTGTGACATATAACTTTATAGTACCGAATATGTTTCTTACGATATTGGACAAGTAATAAAATAAGCTTAAAATCAAGGAACAATTGTTGATCACATTCATTTTCAACGTGATATAATGATAAGTAGTTTCGTCCAAAATGTTTGGCACATTGAGCGAATAGCCGGTATTTATGTAAAGATATACCATCTGAGAAGTAAATCATATAAAGTGAAAAAGACCACTCAGAATTTCAAAATCTTCAATGAAGTACATTCAAAAAATACTGAGCATTAATTGAGAAACATTGAACGAGT